TTTTTTTTGTTTTTTTTTTTTTTTTTTTTTTTTTTTTTTTTGTTTTTTTTTTTTTTTTTTTTTTTTTTTTTTTTTTTAGTAATTGTGTCTTAATAAAAATGTCATATAAAAAAATTTTTTTCAAATTCATACTTTGGTGAATTACTAGAACTCTACCATTTTTCAAATTCGTACGAAGGAATAACACAAACACCAAAATTTTCTTTCAACTCTTCCAACTCTTTTACCACTTTGCCATTCCATCTGGTTTCACCTCCAATTCCAACTCCAAGATACTTTACCGAAGACCCTGATTGTCCTTTAATAAAACTTGTAATCACCTTCATATCCATATACAAAGTTTTAACAACGTCAACAATCAATACTTTTAATTTCGCTTGACAATCACTTAACAATGCATCCAATTTAAATCCACATTGAAGTCTTAAATATGTGAGCGAAGAAGGAAGCGATTTTCCTGAAATGATAGTGGATTCGGAAGCCAAAATAGGATGAGATTTGGATGGTGTTTGAATAGTTAAGTGAGTGACGTTTTGTAATGTTTGGAATAAAGAGCTTAACAAATGGTCATGAAGGGACGGACAATAATCTATGAGGGTAAGATGCGTGAGATTTGAACAATTCTCGATCATAGAATTAATTGTATCCTGCGTTATTATGTCCATTGTTAATTCCCGTAAGGAGGACTTTCCAGCAGCTTGAATTATCAAGGAATAAATTATGGCATTCCTTTGTAATTTCGTAATATGTAATTTCTTTAAATTCTCAAATTTGATTAAATTCCACAATTCATCAACAGTCGAGGGAGTCGTTGTTACAGTATTTGTCATGTCTTGGACCGTGAGTTTTCGACAATTCGATATTTTAAGATTTTCCAAGTTCGTACATTTAGCCAAAGCGTACAGTGACAATGTCGTGATGTTGACTCTGTCTATTTCTACGGAGGTTAATGAACTAACTTGGGATTGTAATGCATGAATGATAACTTGGGAATCATTTTCATTTTCCACACCCTCTAAACTAAATTCTTTTAATCTATTCTGAGTAGTTATAATTGATACTATTGCTTCTACTACATCAGGATTACTTTCGAACATCGGGAGCTTGATATTCAAAGTTTGAATTCTTCTACATAATTTTGGAATTGTTTTCATTAAATTTATAGTGTTTTTCAACATTGGTTGTTGGGAATAATCAATTTCGAGTTTTGTAATATTTGATAATCCTATAAATCCGAGAGCTGGTGTGATTTCGAGAAGAGGAGAAAGCTCTGGAATGTCATCATGGCATGGAATTTTATCAACCCTAAAACACCTTAAATTTACCGAATTTCTTAAAAATAATTTACACAAAATTGAAGTCATTAAGCTTAATTGTTCATCCATTTGATTCATTTGATTCATTTGATTCATTTGATTCATTTGATTCATTTGACAACCGAATTCAATAGCGCATCTGTGAATCCAAGATTGTACAGCCATCTCCAATTTCACAATTGAAAGTTCTTGTAACATCATAGGATAGTTGAATAATGTTTTTTTTTGGTTTAATAATTCAGATATAAAATCGGTGTCATAAGAATTTTTAATTAATAGATCCTTAAGGTCAGCTTTTTCGGCATCATTGAGTGATGAAAGGTAAACTGACATGATTTTGTACATATTCTCAGGGTTCTCAAGAGTAAAATTATCAAATGGACGAGCCCATAAAAAAGGGATTACGTTGCGACACCAATAACGGTTTATGAGTAAAAATGGGTGCAACGCTTCTCCTTGATCAACGAGGTGTTGAAATACTTGATACATACATTCGGTGGGAAGGGTTGGTACGGGTTTCTTAACTTGGACAGGAGCGAAAAGGTTTATCATGAATTTCATTAATGGATTGTCTGACATCTTCGAAAAATCGTTAATACCTTTTAATTTTTAATTTTTTTTTTTTTTTTAAAAGAACAAAAAAAAAATAGAAAAAATATTTTTCGAACTTGTAATTTTTTGAGGAGAGATTGATGAAGTATTTATAGAAAAAGTTTATTGAGCAAAAGTATTAAAATTTGTTTAATAAGATTTGCTGCCAAATTCGGACAACATTTTAGGCGTCAATTGTTCCCATTCTGAATTAGACATTACGTTTAAAAAAATGTAAAAAAAAAAAAAGATTATATATTAATATTCATGTGTTACATTGATGCATAATAATCTATAAATAAAACGGGTATTAACATATCCACATTGCCACAAAATCCGGTTTAAATAACAGTTGTGATATCAACCGACATGACATTGTTTATCAATGCGTTTAAAACATAAATAGTAACACTCAATGAGACGTTGACATATATATAGTTCTTTATTATCACGAACGAATTCGCTTATTATATTTTCCCCTTAGCATTTTGCCGTAATGCAATCCAAGTGACCACGCATATATCGAAATTCTTTAATAACACGTATATTGAATACGTATATTGAATTATTGTTTATCAAATATTGTTTACATTAAGCGTAAATTTACAAATTAATATAATTTTATTAAAATGGATAATTATTAAAAATGGATAATGTAGGATGGCATCACTAAGAATAAGGGGATTTCTCGACCGAAATTCCACATCAACTAGAACAATATGTTT